AAGTGCAGACTGCCAACTCTAATCAAACAGGTTTTACCAAAAAGAGTGTTTAGGAAATGCGGTCGTTTCCTAAACACTTTCAGGTTTTCAAAATGAAATGGACAACTGACTATCAGGCAGCTGAAGCCTACGCTGAAGTTGGTCAAAGTGTTGACTTTTTATTTAAAAGCATTCACTAAAAAGAGTCATGCAGGCGAAGAAGGACAAACATCTTTGGACAGATGAAACCAAGATGAGCGTGCACCAGAATGATTTAAGGACAAAAGTGTGGATAAGAAGAGAAACGACTCATGATCAGAAGTATGTCACATCATCTGTCGAACATGGTGGAAGCAGCGTTATCGCATGACCACAGATGGCTGCCACTGGAACCAAATTCTAGTATTTATTGAGGTGTGACTGCTGATAGTAGGATGAAAGTGTACAGGGCTGCAGTCTCTGCTCAGGTTCAGACAAAGGACCCAACGCATGCGCCAAAAGTGACCCAAGAGCTTCTCGAGGTTAAGAAATGGGACGTTCTACAATGGCCGAGTCAGTCAGCTGATCTCAAAAGAGCACGCCTTTTAATTCCTAGAGATGGCGCTAAATGTAGCTACAAGAAGCACAACTTTGAAGCGTAACTATCCTCAGCAGGTACTCGCATTCTTTGCACCCAAGAAAACGGGGTTATAAAAAAGCAGAAGCAGTTGTGTTTGCATATGGACGTGATCTTTAATTGTTTTTACTAAACCCAGTGATTAATGTGAACAGTAAAGATCTGCAACACTCTTTCAGCATCTTCAGTTGAGGATTAATTAAACCTAACAGCCAATTTAATGTAGAATGCAGTCAATATTCATGTGCTGCGGTTTGGTGGTCCTTTTAGCTGATGCCACGTTTAAGTCACCACATGATTCCTGCTTGCACGTATCCTTTTGTCAGTTTCATCTGTTCATGTTTACGATGTCATCAAAGTTTTCTTTGTGGTATTTCGACATCTAGCTCAGATTATACTGAGTGAGCATAACAGGAGCAGCAGATAGTTTAAACTTCTAACAGCTCATCATAAACGATGCATGAACTGTCTCTGTTTGGCACACAGTTTGCCTGCAAGTTAAAGGTAAAGGGCTTTAATTCCCAATGAAGAAAAACAAAACAATAAAGTATCATGACATCACTCTCTGAGATGGACAAAAATATAAAATACATTATTTCCATAAATGTTGCAACTTAAACTGTGTAGTCTGCAGCATTGTGGTTCAATTCTAGCGATAAACTACGTTGCACACTGGTATACCCTTGGGTACCACCAGAGACATCATAAGAGGAAGCCACTTTACTCAAGTGTGAACTGAAATTAAAGAGAGTTTTACAAAAGTAAAGACGGTGCTACAAATATAACTTCCAGTCTATTTGAGTGCAAAGCAAACTTGTAGGTGGTTTAAATTCGATTTGACAGGATATTTTGTACATAGACTTTTATTTGCCGCTGACCTTGAAAATTGATTGCTGTGTCTGTGGAATTTCTTCTAGATGGAGACATTTAAGCTGATGAAGTAACAATTGTTAGATTCAACCATTATACTTAAAGTTGTCTAAAGCAGCGATCTCCAACCATTTTTGCGCCACGGACCGGTTTATGCCCGACAATATTTTCATGGCCGGCCTTTAAGGTTTCGCGGATAAATACAACAAAATAAAACTAGTACCGGTACCGAAGAAAAGAAGATTTATTCATAACACACGTGAAAAGACTCAGGAAAACCGAGTAAACGATAAAAACGATAACAAAATAACGCTGAAAACCGATTAAAAACTCTGAAAACTTTACATTTCACACCTGAGCCTCAACTCTCGCGGCCCGGTACCAAACGACTCACGGACCGGTACCG